ATTAGAACTCACCTGTAAAGCCAGCCCTCCCTGGGGCCCACAGAAGCCCACCCAGAACACTTCAGGCGAAGACCTTGCCTGGCCCCCGGCGTGCTGCAGGAACTGCGTTCCCCACCGTCCCTCTGGGGCTTGGGGCTCCGGCTTGCCAGGGGTCCCGGGGGTCTGGGCTCCGCCTGGCCCCCAGCCCTTGGGTCAGGCCTCACCCACCGCGTTGTCCCCCTGCAGCAACGGGATCCTCTACCAGTACCCCGACCGCACCGACGTCACCCCCCTGCTCTCGGTGAACATGGGGTGAGTGTCGCGGGCGATGTGGCTGAGAGGTGTTGGGGTCTGGCTTCTCTGCCCGCAGGTCAAGGCTCTGGCTGAGCCCGGGCCTGGGCGTCCTGTGCTCCCCAGTCTGAGCTGGCTTGCCCTCTTCTCAGCGCAGCCTGCCCCTCAGCCCCACCCCGTCCAGCAGCCCTGAACTGCGTACTGGGTGCTGCCCAGCTCTGAGGACTGAGGGACCCAAGGGTGGGGAGAGGGAAGGTCCTCTCAGGGAAGCAAGAGCTGCTTCTTTCCTGGAAGGGTCTGGTCTGATAGGGGAGGCAGCCCCCCAGTCTGATAGGGGAGGAAGCCCCCCAGTCTGATAGGGGAGGAAGCCCCCATAGGCTTATAGGGGAGGCAGCCCCTCAGTCTGATAGGGGAGGAAGCCCTCCAGTACGATAGGGGAGGGGGCCCCTTCCCTGGGGAGGCCCCGCCCTGATGGGGAGGACAGACACACACACACACACACACACACACACACACACACACGCGTGGGGCAAACACGGGCCCGCAGCGGGGACGTGGGAACACTCCCTGCCTGGAGGAGGCTGCAGTGGAGCTGAGAGCTGATTCACCCCTCACCTGGCCGCGTCTAGGTGTCAGTCAGGATCGCGGCGAGTCTGGACATGAAAGGTGTCACATGGAAAGGGGCAGGGTTGCCCCGGAGCTTAAAGCCCCTCCCCAGAGCTGGAGGGGTCTGACTACCGCGGGTGCCCTCCACCGGCCGGCAGCAGGGTGGGCCCTGTGTCCACGTGCCCGGAGCCAGCCCCCGGGACCCCCGCCCTGGGCCGCCCCTGCTCCGGTTTCACCCCCCTCCTCTGGCCCAGGGGGGAGCAGTGCGGTGGCTGTCGGAGGTCCAACACCACGGATCGGCCCCACGCCTTCCAGGTCATCCTCGCAGACCGGCCCTGCCTGGAGCTGAGCGCCGACAGCGAGGCTGAGATGGCCGACTGGATGCAGCACCTCTGCCAGGCCGTGTCCAAGGGGGTGAGCCGCTCCCACCACCCGCTCACCTGGCCTCCCGCCCCCGTCCCGGGCCCCTCCCCCAAACTCACACCGGTCGGTCGTGGAGCAACCTGTGAGGACCGAGACCGGGGAGGGCCCAGGAGCAGACCCTGGACCTTAGGGCCCCCTGTGACCTGGAACTCTCGCTGTCACCTCATTCCCAGCTGTAGTCCTGAGTGGGCGGAGCCTGCCTGCCTTCTGGAGGGAGGGGTGGAAGGGCTGGCCAGGCGCCTGGAGTCGGGAGGTCTGGTGCAGACCAGCACCGGAGCTCCAGCTTGCTTCTCCCGGTCCCTCCGCCAACGCCCTTCAGGTCATCCCCCAGGGGGTCTCCCCCAGTCCCTGCATCCCCTGCTGCCTGGTGATCACCGACGACCGCCTCTTCACGTGCCACGAGGACTGCCAGACCAGCTTCTTCCGCTCCCTGGGCACAGCCGAGCTGGCCGACATCAGCGCCGTCTGCACGGAGCCGGGCAGGGAGTACTGCGTCTTGGTGAGTGCGGTGGGTAGGTGGGTGGCGGTGGAGGCGGGTCCAGCGGAGGGAGCCCTGCGTCCGCTCACCGGAGCCCCGCCCTCCCCAGGAGTTCTCCCGGGACAGCCAGCAGCCCCTCCCACCCTGGGTCGTCTACTTGAGCTGCACTTCTGAACTGGACCGGTTCCTGTCTGCACTGAACTCTGGGTGGAGAACCATCTACCAGGTACCTGGCTGCCCAGGGCCCTGCAGGGCGGAGCTGTTCCCGAAGGAGGGGAGGCCTGTGCGGCACAGACGGGGGCGGGAGTTGGGGGCCTGGGGACAGCCCCACACCTGCAGCTCCAGGACAGACACGAACCTTTAGGATTTCCAAAGGGCAGCCCTGACTACTCCAGTGAGTCTGAGACTAAGCTGGAAGTGGAACCCAGGAAACACCATCCCCGACCGTCTTGGTTCCAGTGTAGAAGCACAGATCACGTGCTTTCGGTGGGGCAGGGGCGGAGAGCCACTCCGGGCAGGCAGGACACGTTCAGGTGCGGAGCCAGCCGAAGCGCAGGGCCTGCCGTGTGCCGGCCATCCCCCTGTCGTCCGCTGGAGCCCCTCCTTGAAGGGCAGGAGTTCAGCAGGTGGCCTGGCCACACCTGGTGCGGAGGGTCCCCCCGGCCCTCACAGGCTCCCCGCTCCCCCGACACAGGTGGACCTGCCCCACAAGGCCATCCAGGAAGCCTCCAGCAAGAAGTTCGAGGACGCCCTGAGCCTCATCCACAGCGCGTGGCAGCGCAGCGACAGCCTGTGCCGCGGCAGAGCCTCCCGGGACCCCTGGTGCTGAGGCGGGGCTGCCGGTGTCCTGGCCGGGAGGGCGGCACCGGGGGCACGGAGCAGCACGCACTGCGCTGCCGTCACTGCCGCCGTGTCAGCGTGCGGCTCGGGGCCCGGCTCCCACCCGGGGCTGCAGAACCAACGAGCGGAGCTTGAAGCAGGGTCTGTCCCCCCCAGGGGTCCCGAGTGGGCGCTCAGCGGCCCTGGGCATCCCGCCCAGCGGGCGGGCGCTGGGAAGGGCCGGGGGCAGCGGGTCTGAGCCCTATGGGCTCTGTGGGTGTACGGCCGCCTCCCTGGGGCCCTGGCCTCAGCCCAGGCCGTCTCTTCAGGACGGCGATGAGAGTAATACCAACTCTGGGGGGAGCAGAAAGACAAGAAGGGGCAGAGTCTCCTCTTCCTGTCCCGGGCCAGGGGCCGGCACCGAGGCTCAGGCCGCCCGGCCGTCCTTGTCTGATGTCGGACATCCGCCTGGCCGTGCAGGGAGGCCGGGACGCGGAGATGCTAGTGCATGCCTTCTCCCGGCTGGCTCCATCCCCCAGCGCGCTGCTGCTGCTGCTGCTGCTGCTGCTGCTGCTGCCTGCCGGGGCTGGGGCTGGGGCGGCCGCACTGGCCCTCCCTGGCTGCCGGGAGGCCCTGCATGCCCGTGGCCCCCGCCCCGCCTCCCCTGAGCCTGGCAGTGCCCGAGGACCCGGGAATCAGGCGTCTCCATTCGCCGGGAGCAGCAGGGAGGGAGAGGGCTTGGAGAGGAGCGGAGCCCACCGGCCTGGCGTCCGCGTCGGAGCCTCCCGACCGTCCCCTGCTTGGCTAGAGCCAGGCCCTTGTCAAGAGCTTTCTCAAGGGCCCCCTGGGGGAAGGAGTCAGGTGGTCTGGGTTTTGTTTTTTAAAAATAAAAAGATCTGTTATATTGCCAAGATTTGTCACTGGCCCTTTCTGACCAGGGTTGGAGGCGGGGGATCTGCAGCCCTTCCTCCCAGGCCCCTTGGCCCTTTATTCTCATCCCACAAATGTGCCATCAGCTGCCCCCGCCACGCGCGCGCGCACACACACACACACACACACGGGACCAGATCCCCGCGGCCCTGCCCGGAGCACTCGCCGTCTGGAGGAGCACAGGCCCGACCTTTGTCCCACCTCCTGTTAGCTGCGGCGGCAGGCGTGGAGCGCCTCCCGCCATGCAGCGGTCTCCCCCACCAGGGCAGGGCCCTCCCGGCTCTTGGGAGAGATGCCAGCCACTTCGGATGAACCCAGAACAGTTCAAGCTGTTCCCAAGGCTCCTTGCTGAGTTGCTGCCTTGGGGGCTGGCCAGAGAATGCCAAGCCTAATGATCGAGGGGTGGGGGCGTGTGCAGCACCTCGACCTTCAGGGCCTCTCACCTGGGGAGAGAGGGGTAAACTCGGGAAGAGCTGGGTGTGGAGGCTGCAGAGGCGGGTTCTGGGCAGGGCGGCTCTGCGCGTCCCGATGCACAGTGGCCCTGGCAGGAGAGAGCTGCTCTGGGGGCCGGAGCCCAGGTGGGCTGGGTGGTGCCACCAGCCCCTCGTCGGAGCAGCCTGGGCCCAGCAGCAGAGCCCAGGGGTGGAAGGTCCCTGCCCACCACACACGAGGGGCCATCTCCACGCCTGGGGCTCTCCTTCCGAGAGCCACCCCAGGAGGTGCCCCCACTGGCAGGAGGGTGGTGCCGATGGACAAGTCCTTGCCAGGTAAATGACCAGAGCCACTGGTCGCTCCTTGAGAAACAAGGAGCCTTATTTTTCCATCTCCTACCCGCCCAGGGGACGACACCCAGGCAGGGCAGAGGTGGCCCCCTTTTCTCGGGTGCTCTTCACACATCTCTGATCCTCCAAAGAAGCTCTGGAGTGGGTCCCGAGACCCCCAGTTCACAGGTGGAGAGACTGGAACTCAGAGAGGAAGTGATCTGCCCAGGTCACAGAGCACAGCCTAGGAGTCAAGATCAGCCCCCCACCTCTGCTCCTGCAGACAGCGGGAGCACACAATGGGGCAGCCAGATCAAAGACGGAGGGGGGTGGCCAGGAAAGGGGGCGTCACACAGGTAGTGGCAGAGGTGGGAGTGGGGTAGTTGCCCAGTTGCCTAGGCGTGCTGAGGCCAGGAGCCTATCGGGGCACTTGCCCAGTGCCCAGGGCTCTGAGCTACAGCATCACTGGCTGAGCCAAAGGTGGGGCAGGAGCACCAGCCCTTTGCCCCAGGGTCAGAGGGAGGGCAGGAGGATCAGAGTGGCAGGGGGAGGAGTCTTGGGTGACTGGCACCTTCTTTCTGCCCCTAATCTCTCCCTCTGGTCCTAGGTGACCTTTCCCCCAGATCCCAGGGTCTAGGCCCACCCCCACAGGGAGGTGTGGAGAACGAAGGCAGCTGGGATTGGCCAGACACGGCGGGGGTGTGTCCCAGGCCCCAGCAGCTCTGGCTGCTAAGCGGAGCAGGTGAATGCTAGGAAAGATCAGGAGCCGCCTGGGCAGCCGCAGGCCTGTCCCACCAGACCCCTGCCCTCCAGACATGTCCCCAGGGCGCCTTGATCCCTAGCTCTGTGGTCCTTCAGGGGTAAAGGCAGACTGAGCGCCACCACCCCAGGGCCGGCGCCATGCCCCTGACCCGGGCGCAGCCAGCAGCTGGCACGGAGGACATGGAAACAGTTGCCCCAGCCGTGGACCTAGTGCTGGGAGCCTCAGCCTGTTGCCTGGCCTGCATCTTCACCAACCCCCTGGAAGTGGTGAAGACGCGGCTGCAGCTGCAGGGGGAGCTGCAGGCCCCGGGCACCTACCACCGGCCCTACCGGGGCTTGGTGGCCTCAGTAGCAGCTGTGGCCAGAGCAGACGGACTGGGTGGCTTGCAGAAGGGGCTGGCCGCCAGCCTCCTCTACCAGGGCCTCATGAACAGCGTCCGCTTCTACTGCTACAGCCTGGCCTGCCAGGCTGGCCTCACCCAGCAGCCAGGTGGCACCGTGGTGGCAGGCGCTGTGGCTGGGGCACTGGGAGCCTTCGTGGGGAGTCCCGCTTACCTGGTGAGTGCCTCATCCCCATCTGCCTCCGTCCCGGGACCCAGCTCCCTCCCGGGCTCTGAAACTTCCCCGGGGTGGCCTCCGTGGGCAGGTGGGGTGGGGCAGGCTGGGTGGGGCTGCGCCCTGGAACACCCCTGTCCAGGCTGCAATCTGCTCCAGGGCAGCAGGACCTTGGCCCATCCTCGCTCCCCTGGGGTCCCTGCCCTGCAGGTCCTGAGCCAGGGTAGGCGGACAGGGTAGCAGGTGTGCTGGCTCAAACCCCAGTAGGCGCCTGTGTGGTTCCTGCAAGTCCAGACTAAAGCTTCTATGGAGCCAGGGCCCCAGTGCTAGGCTGGATGCAAAACCATTGTTACCTCCCTTAGTTCACAAAACAGCTTTTCAAAGGTAAGCAGACTGGTTAAGCAACTTGCCCCAGGGTCCACAAGGTGCAGGACGAGGCCATCTCTGGAGACTGCCCCCGACCCTGTTTCCCACGCCCCCTAAGCTGCAGGGTGGGCTCATAGAGTGGCAGGTGCTGAGTGTGCTGCTCCCAGGAACATCCCAGCCCAGGCCCGCAATGTGCCCCATGGTGCCAGGGAAGGGTGCCCTTCACACACAAGCTCAGCCCGGCTCCCCAAGGCTCCGGCCCTAAGCCCTCTGTCATCTCTGCTCTCACAGGTCAAAACGCAGCTGCAGGCCCAGACGGTGGCCGGGATGGCTGTGGGGCACCAGCACCACCACCAGGTGGGACTGCCACTCCCCAGAGCTCCCTGGGCTGGGTGGGCCCCTGGGCTGGCAGGGGCTGCTCAGTGACCCTGTGCCCTCTCCCCACAGAACGTCCTGGGCGCCTTGGAGACCATCTGGCAGCAGCAGGGCCTGGCAGGGCTGTGGCGGGGCGTGGGCGGGGCTGTGCCCCGAGTCATGGTTGGCTCGGCTGCCCAGCTGGCTACCTTCGCCTCTGCCAAGGCCTGGGTGCATGAGCGGCAGGTGAGGGGCTGGGGACACCTGTGCCCAGCCCAGCTGGGCCTTCACAGAGGGAATCCTAAGGGGTGGTCACAAACAGGGCCCCTTAAGACCCCTGGGCCCAGCCAGAGTGGGAGTCAGCAGTGAACCCCGAGCAAACCCTGATGCTGTAAAGGAACTTGGGGCAGGGGAGGTGTGGGGTGAGGAATAGTGTGGGGGGGGGCCTTGTCTGTTCCCCTTCTCCCAGCTCTTCTGCCCCCAGGTGGTGGGACGTGGGTGGAGGGCAGCTGCAGGGCTCAGTAGCCCGTCCCATCCCCACAGTGGCTCCCGGAGGACAGCTGGATGGTGGCCCTGGCCGGAGGCATGATCAGCAGTGTGGCCGTGGTGGCGGTCATGACTCCCTTTGACGTGGTCAGCACCCGGCTGTACAATCAGCCCGTGGATGGAGCTGGCAGGGTGAGCGGGGGACTGGGTGGCAGGGATGTGGGGTGCTGGAGAGCACCCTGCCCGACCTCCACACCACACACGGCCAGAGACGCACAGATGGTGGACGTACAGGCAGACGTGTTCATCCAGCTTCGGTGCCCAGCACCTGTGTCTTGGGCACGTGCTGAGCAGGCCCGCAGCTGGATTTTATTCCATTCTCACCACCACCTTCAACTTCCTGGCGAGGAGACTGAGGCTCAGAGACCTCAAGTGACTTGCCTGAAGTCACCCAGCTTGTCCGTGGAGGAGCCCGCTCTGGGATCCAGGCCCAGCCCAGGGGCCTCGCCAGTGCACACGGGTGGTACAGGCAGCAGTGCAGTGGTGCCCAGCACACAGGCGCCCTCCACAGGCTGAGTGAGGGACGACACCCTCCTGCGTGCACTACTCAAATTGAGTTCCTGGCTGTCTGAAGGAAGAGACCCTTTGGTAAACTTTGTGACATAAAGGGCGATCTGTCTGTAACTCACCGGCTTGGGGCGGGGCTGCCTTTTCCAATGTGCTGCAGAAGCCCTCACAGCTACACCCTACTGTGCCGGCCAGGGCCCCACAGCCCCTGCACTGACCCCCACCCTGTGTCTGTCCCCAGGGCCGGCTGTACAGTGGCCTGGCGGACTGCCTGGTGAAGATCTGGCGGCAGGAGGGCCCCCTGGCACTCTACAAGGGCCTGGGCCCCGCCTACCTGCGCCTGGGCCCCCACACCATCCTCAGCATGTTCTTGTGGGACGAGCTCCGGAAACTGGTCAGACCGGGCCGGCGCCAGGACACCTAAGCCACATCCCTCAGCCCCCCACCCCATCCTGACACCTTTCACCACCCACTCCAGCTGGGAATGGCCACCGTGGAGCCAGCCATAGGCCCAGGCCTGGCTGCAGGTCTGGGGAGAACGTGGGCGGCTGTAGTCAACCAGCCCCGTGACCCACCGCCCCGCTCCGAATCACCACCCACTCTGTCCTCCAGAAAGTTCTCTTCCCTTCCTCCTCTGTCTGGGGTTGCCTTGCCCCAGGGTCTTGCTCATCCTCACGCTAACCGCTGCGGAGCATCGCCGTGAGCTGGGTCACTTACCCGCACCTGCGCGCTTCATTCTGAAGCAGCAGCGTGAATACAATCTTCCTCTGCTGATGAGGAGGCCGAGGCACAGAGGCGCAGAGGGTGCCATGACTGGAGCTCAGCCCCGCCCAGACCAGGCCTGTGCCCTGGGCAAGGACCGGGCCCCTGGGGGCTGGCGCGTCTCTGAGGGGTCACTGCACACGTGAGGAGACCCCGGGTGCACCAAGGCATGCCACCATCTGTGGTGGCTGCCGTGACAAAGTGCCTCAGCCTAGGCAGCTGTGACGACAGAAGGGTGTCTTCTCGCCATTCTGGTAGCCGATGTCCGAGATGAAAGGGTCGACAGGGTTGGTTTCTTCCAAGACCTTTCTCCTCGGCTTGCAGGCGGCCAGCTTCTCTGTGTCCTTCCTTCTGTGCGTGTCTGCGCCCTCGTCCCCTCTCCTTATGAGGACACCAGGCCCACCTTGGCGACCTCATCATGTCCACTTAATCCCCTCTTGAAGGACCCAGGCTCCAACTAAGTCACATTCTGGAGTCCAGGGCCTTGGACTTCATTACATGAATGGAGGGACACAGTTCAGGCCATCGCACCAACGAAGGGCTTTTACAAAGGTCTTGCTAGGCGCCCAGCCCTGCCAACGTGCACACAGACCTCGTAACAACCCTGAAAGGGAGCCCCCACCGTGCCCGTTGTCCGGATGAGGAGACCGGGGCCGGGGCAGGGGAGCGACTTCCCCAAGGTGCGTCGCAGAGCCAAGCGTCCTCAACCAGGCCCTGTCCCCAAGCTGCAGCCACACTCCCCACGTGGGTGGGTCCCTTTGTGCTCACCCGCAGACGCCCAAGCCCCTGGAAGGGGCAGGACAGGTCCAGGTCGAGCAGCCTGATGCACCTTCCTGCCAACACCCGGTGTCTTGGACAAGCTGCCCCGCCCCCCCCGGGGAACGCCTACCAACACTCCAGACCAATAAAGTTTTCTATTTTGTTTACTGCTACGACTCCCTTGTGTGGGCAGCCTCAGTCTCCCCCACCCTGAGCCCCCGCCACCTTGGCACTCGACCTCAGTCTCCCCTCCCCGCCGTGAAAACCCCCTTGAGCTCCTCGGACTGGGAAAGGAGGGTCCAGAAGAACTGGGCAATCCAGCCCCACCCTGGAGGGCCCGGGGAGGCCCGCCCCCTAGTGGACACCGAGAGGAGAGGCGCGGCAGGCGGCCCTGTGGCCGAGGGGCGGGGCCGCGAGCTGAATCCCAGCCTCTGGCCTTGAGGGCGATAAGCGACCCCCCCAGACTTCCGGCTGAGAGTAGAGCCCGAAGGCGGAATAGGTGCCCCCTTCCAGGTCCTGGGCTGAGAGGACGGAGCCCAGACCTGAGGCTGGGGGACAGTCCAGGACGCAGGGCAGACAAGGCCTGGGGCTGCAGCAAGCCACTGTGTGGTAAGCCCTGAGGGAGGGCGAGAAAGGCGGCACCAGACTTGAGCAGAGACAGAGAGAGAACAGCCCCAGAGACGCCCTCCACCCCCTGCAGCCCAGAGCAGGAACGCCGCCGCCGCCGGCAGGTTTAAGGCCCCTGGCTCTCCTCCCGTCCCTGCCCTCTCGCTCTGGGCCTTTGACCCCTCCCTCCCCGCCTCGCCTCCACTCACACCTTTGCCCTGTGACGTTAGGCTCTCCCGTGCAGACCTGGCCCGTGGCTGGGGCTGCCGCTGGCAGCCATGTTCGCCCTGCTGTCCCCCACCTCCTGGCTCCCTGGCCTCTCCTCCCTCGAGTGGGGCACGGGTCTCCTCCTCGACTCCCTCCTGCAAGGTGAGCGTGGCCTCCCCGTGCCCTCTGGGGCCTGCTCCCTGAAGTGCCGGGTGGACTCCAACCCTAGGTCTCCCGGCACCCAGGCCACCCCTCCCCTAACCCTACCAAGCACCCCTACTTTCCCTCCACCCCTCAGGCCTCATCGGGGCCTGTGGAGTCTCCGTCCTGAACAACCTGCTGAAGGTTTACTTCTTCGTGGGCTGTGCCAAGTGAGTGTCCCTCCCAGCCCACTCCTAACCCCTGTGAGGCCCCTGGGCCCCCACCTGTGACTCTGGCCTCTGTGGAAGGGTTGGGGGCAAGAGACCACTGTCTGGCCAGGGAGTGTGGCTGAGGGCCCCGGGACCCCCACCAGGGCCCCAGGCTGGTGGCTCTGCCCCTCTGCCTACAGCCACTGTCCCTCACAGCAACCCGGAGCGGCAGCTGGAAAAGGAGAGGCTGCGGCCCCGGCGGACTTCTCTGGACACCGTGCACCTGGCCGGACTGGCCCTGATCCTGACCGTCGTGGGGAACCGGGTGGCCTCCCTGGTGGCGCTGGAGTTCTCCCTCAGGGCTATCTCCACGCTGCTCTCCCTGGGCAAGGTGAGGCTGCGCAGGGAGGTGGTAGGTGTGCCCTGCCCGGCCCGGGCCCAGGTTTCCACCCCGAACACTTGGAGCATCTCATCTCCTCGGGTTGTGACCTCCAAGGCCAAGTCTCCACGCAGAGTAGACACGCCCCCAGTAGTCCGAGAAGATGCTAGTGGCAGCTCCCGGAAGCCAAGGGCTTTCCACATGCTGGTAGCTGGAATGCGTCATCCCAGTACCCTCCCAGCCTCGGGGGGTTGAGGTTCCTGTGACCCCCATTTCACAGGTGCAGAACTAAGGTTTAGGGAGACTATGCGGCTTGTCTGTGGTCAACAACCTGCAAGGAGCAGAGTCAGGCTTTGAACCCAGGTCTTCAGGGCTCTGAGCCACCGCCCTTCAGCAAGCACGTGAAATTAGGCTGCAGGAAATGATCCCTCTAGGGCTTGACTTGAAGGCAACATTCCCTCTGATGGGGGCAGATCCTCAGGGCTCCTGTGGGCTCCAGCCTCCTGCAGCCCCAAGCATTTGTACCGTGACAGCCCTTGGGGCCCCAGTGGCGAGGGGAGGCCCCAGCTCCACGATGGCAGCCCCTCTTCTGCCCCCTCCCCTGCCAGGGCTCCCGGGGCACCGAGAGGCTGCAGCTGTACCTGCTGTGCCAGTACTCGCTGGGCTGCGGGCTGACCTGCGGCCTGAGCTTCCTGCAGGAGGGCGCCGCTCACCGCACGCTGAACCTGCTGCTGGGCCTCGGGCTGGCCGCGCTGCTGAGCACGGTCACCCAGCGCCTGCGCCGCCACGTCTGCTCCCTCTATGAGCTGCACAGCAGCCAGCACTACTGTGGGGTTTGCCTGGGCCTGCTGGCCAGTGCGCACGGCCTCCCCCGGCTGCTGGGCCGCATCCTGGCCGTGGCCTTTGGTGTGGGGGACCTGGCGGCCGTGGTCCTCATCAATCAGGACTTCCTGACCACCTCGGAAGCTGTGCGCTTCTGGACGCCGCTCACCATCTGCTACACCCTGCTGGTCATCTACATGCAAGGTAATGGCCACAGTCGGGGTCCTGGGCATTCGCTACACATTCGCGTCCTGCTTTCTGACCCCGAGGAGCCCAACGAGGTAGTCCCCGTGCCTGTCATCCAAGCATGTCTGGCGTGGTGACAGAGGCCATTTGGTAGGTGGGGCAGCTCAGAGAAGGGTGCAGTGTGCAATGGGAGCCCTGAGCAGATAATTCTGGAATCGGACCTTGAAGGGTAAGTAAGGACCCAGGAGCACGTGACCTTGCATGCCAAGTTCAGAGGTGAGAGACAGCCCTGCGGCCTTGAACAACTGAGAACAGCTGAGTGTAGCTGTCGCCCCAAGAAGGGCGGAGGGGGATGAGGTGCACAGGGGCCTGAAGGAGAGTCCCCCTGGGCCAGGCTGGGGAGAACGACAGAAACCCGTGGCAGGGTTTTAGGCAGGAGAGGGTGACCCGGTCAGATCTGAGCTCGAGGAAGCTAGAAAGAGCCACCCGGCTGCAGAGTGAGGATGGGGTGGGCAGAGTGACGATGGCAGGAAAAGGAAGGCTGATTAGGAAAACAGCAGCAGGTGCAAAGGCCCTGGGGTGGGCATGCACTCGCTGTGCTTGATGAACAGCAAGGAAGCCGGGATGGCTGGGGGTTTGGGCAACGGGGAACAAGCCAGGGGTCAGGTGAGGCCGGAGAGCAGCCACTGGTCACAGTGAGCAGGACCTCACGGCCGGATAAGGAGCTTGGAGCTTGTCTCAGATGCAGTGGGAAGGGCTGGAGGATTACAAGCAGAAGAGTGACTTTATCTCACTGATGTGTTGAGAAGGTCATCAGCTGTTGAGTAGACCACTTGAGTTATAGGGTCAAGAACAGGAGCCAGGAGACCAGCCAGGAGGCCAAGACCGGGTGGGTGGAGCAGTAGAGTGGGGAGGTGTGTGTGGGCGGGGTCTGTTCGGCAGAAAGAGTTGACAGGCTTCCTAGCGGGTCAGACACAGAACTGCAGGGGAGGAGTCAGGCCCCGGCTGCAGCTGGAGGCGGAGCACAGCAGTGTGAGACCTGCAGGTGGGCCTGGGGCCCATGCTGGCCATGGGGGTGGGGCCAGAGGCAAGGGGGAGGGGCTGTCTGGGAGGGGAAGGCCTAAACTGGGGAGGGTCAGTGGGGGAGCTGGGAAGTCCAGCCCTGGTCCAGCTGGACCTCAATTTGGGGCACTGGCTGTGGCAGGCAGGTGGTGACAGTCACATGTCCCCCACAGAGGAGCAGCGGCAGAACCCCCACCCTGGCCTGCAGAACCAGGTCCAGACGGTGCTGGTGCGCATGGGTGGCCTCTTCGTGCTGCTGCTGACCGTGGGCCGCTGGCTGGACCTCCTGGGTGTCCTCATCTCCCTGCTGGGCGAGCTTTGGTGCCTGGTGGGCGTCCGCACTCTCCTTGACCTTTGCCAGATACAGGTGGGCACCCTCACCCCATGCCACCCCCAGACCCCCAGGCACCCCGTGCCTTGCCCCAGACAGCCATGGGAGCCTCAACGGGCCCAAGTTTAAGAAGAGCTGGGGCACTCTCTCTCAGGATGGGGGGCAGAGGGAGCTGGAATCCCCTCTCTCACCTGGTGTTAACCTTTGACCTGTGCCCCGGAAGCCCCGAATGGGAGGATGGTCTTGGATAAATGGAGGCCTGAAGTGTCACCCCGGAGAATCAAGGGGTGTCCTCCATCCTTTCCTCCCCACATCCCCTCAGGACTTTGCATCCCAGAGGCCTTTGGTGTCAGCTCCAAGCCAGCCGCGGCCCTCAGCACCTGCCGAAACCCAGGGGACGGCCCCCTCCTGACCTGCCTCAGAGAGGACTCGTAGTCCGACTCGAGCCCGCACAGGCCCACCTGGAGGCCTGGACCCCCCCAGCACGGTGCCCACCTGGAGGCAGACTGGCAGGGTTGGCCCCCACCTGGAGCTTGAGGTGGGCACTGGAGCCCCCGAGATGGAGGGGAGGGCTAGGGCCCTCAGAAGGTGCGGGCACCTGGAGGCCACCGGGTTCATCCCCCTTCCCTCAGGGTGGGCAGAGGTCATGCAGCCCCCTCAGACCCGCCCTCGGGGGGTGGGGGCAGGGGAGAGGCGCATCCTCAGAAGGGCTTCCCCCCTTCCTGGCCTCCCTCGCCCTCTCCACAGACAATAAAGACGTTTTTCTCAAACTGAGCGTAGAATCGTGAGCACACAGATTGGGCAAGGGGCTTTTCTGAGTCCACATGGCTCTGCTGGCCTGGCCAGCTTCTGGGATACATGTCAGGGGTCCCACGCTGAGGGGTGGCGGCGGGGTGGCGGCAGGGTGGGCGCATGGCCTAGCGCCTGCTGGCAATCTGGGGTGGACGGTGCCTGTCCTGTGGCATCCTAGGCTGGGACACAGCTGAAGGAAATGCAGTGCTGACATGGCCTCCGTGGGCGCCCCGTGTCCCCTGCAGGGCGCAGCTCAGGGGGGCCACGGAGTGGGGGGACAAAGGCCTGAGCACCATCTCCCCTGCTGGCGTGCCGTGTGCCGTGGGGCGGTTGCCCACCGCGTGCTGGGCTGTGCTGTGCTGAGCATTTCTATGACTCATGTCACTCTGACATCGGCCCCAAGAAGTAGCTACTGTTGTCCCTTTCTACAGATTCAGAAACTGAGTCTCAGAGAGGTTAAGTGACTCTCTCAGGGGCACACAGCTCGGTAGTGGCAGAGTCAGAACCTGCATCCAGGCGGCCTAAACTGCAGAGCTCAAGTGCTCTGCACGCTTCCTGCTCCCCTCTTCTTACTGAAGAACTGGGGCCAGGAAACCTCGCAGGTGGCCGTGAAACGTATCACGGGCCCACTACTGGCAGGTTCTGGAACGTGGTTCTGGCCACCTTTTGTCCAGCGTAGCCCGAGGCTCCATCGCAGTCATGTTCTCCTGGCCCAGACACCCAGCTCCCCTGGGCACCTCGTTTCCATGGGGATTGGGCCGGAGCCCTTTCCCAGGAGGGTTCCCATGGGGCAAAGGAGACCTCCAGCCAGGGGGCTTCCGAGGGGCTGTGAGGGCCAGACTGTTGGAGGGACAGAGGAGGCACCAGGGAGGAAGTGAAGGCTGGGGGATGTTCTGGAGGGTTCCAGGCTCCTACGGGCCGGGCCTCACTCCCAGCAAAGGCTGCCATGGCTGCCCGCAGGCCCCTCCGGTGCAGACAGAGCCTGGCCAGGAGTCTGCGCCCCGCACCATGCAGCGCACCTGGGAGATGGGCAGGCTGGCCCAAGGCTGGGCAGGGTGGTGTCCGCTGACCCCTCCAGGGGTGGCCGCCCCACTGACAGCTTAAGCCCCGCCTCTGGTGCCCTGCTCTCTCCTCCCCCAGGAGGGCCTCTCGGCCTTAGAGTAGCTGAGGTGGGGGGTATTGTGTACCCCCCACCCCCAGCACAGGACCCAGCCCTCATCTGTGGGGGAGCCTGCTCCCTTCCTTCTGGGCAGGAAGCGTGCCCCAGTCTGGGAGGAAATGGCTCAGTTAGGCGGGCACAGGGCCAGACCGGCCAGACCCAGACTGGACACCAGGTTCCAACTGTTCTCATGTTTTTGCTGGAAGGTTCCCCGGCCTTCTGGCCCCCACATAGCCTAGGACCAAGGGGGAACAGGGCCGGGAGGGATGGGGATCAGCAGTCTTTTCCTTTTTATGGGCACAGGGACCGTTTTCCAAACAAAAGCTGGGGCATGTGGGCTGCAATAGGATTCTTTTCTTATCTATTGAACTATTTCTGTGTAAAAATTAGATCACTCTAAGTGAGGCATTTAGCAAACCTCCATACCAAACAAAGAGAAAGGGCAGAGGAAATCCAAAAGGTACGGCCTGGAACAGGGGCCGGGTCCTACAGAGAGCACCCGAGCCCGCCTCCTGGGCCCCGGCCAGCGTCCTTCTGAAGAGGCGGATGAAGCCCAGAGCGCCCGGTCCCTGCTAAGAGGGCACGAGGGTAACCCCCGGGGCATCTGTGGTTGCCGTGAGCCAGCCCCCTCCCTCCCGAGCCCCCACTCCCAGCTTTTCTGAGCTGTAACACTGTCCCTCTGGGTGTCCTGCATTCCTCGCCCCATTCATTCACCGGTGATGACTGAGCAGAGGTGGGCGGGGCCACATCACTCAGGGCCCCTCCAGGGAATGTGGGGGGCGGAGTGAGGGTTTTATTCCCACGGGCAGCCAACTGAGGTTTTGCAGAGGAGGTGACATAATGTGACTGACAAGGCGGGGGGCCCAAAAAGGAAATTTATGTATAAAAAATTGTGTATTTATTCTCACATGTTGAAACTTCAGTCACCCTCAAAGTACTCCACATTTGATGCGATACACCTATTGAAACGTTTTCCCCACTGCTCAGAACAGCTTTTGAACTCGTTGGTTTTGATGCCTTTCAGTGTTTCTGCCGTTTTTGGTTTCACCTCTTCTACATTGGCAAAGAGGTTTCCTTTTGAGGACTTTTTCATCAGGGAAACAAAAAAATGTCACTGGGGCAAGATCAGGTGGCTGGGGAGGGTGGGGCACAGGGGTGATGCCGCTTTGGTCAAAAACTGCTGAATGCTCAGCACAGTGTAGGCAGGTGCGCTTGTGAATCACCCACATGAAATGGGGAAACGCGTTGAAAGAGTCTTTAAAAAATGTCACTGAAGCCGAACACAACCTCTCACAACAACACCAGCTGGTACACTGCTACAGATGGGCTCCTAGAACATGCACCTCGCAGGGGAAGCCTGTGCTATTGGGGCCCACCCTCCAGAAGACAATTCTGCTGTTTTTGGAGTCCCCCCTCATATATTAAATTTGTATTATGTGTCGATTGCCTCCCCCTCCCTATAAGCTCCATGGGGACAAGGACTGTGTCTGACCTGACTTCTGTGAGGTCCTTGGCTTGTGCCTAGCACACAGTAGGTGCCCAATCAATGTTTACTGGGTCAAAGCCCTCCTCCTACTGTGGGCAGCAGGTGACAGCTCCTCGACAGACTGGGCAGCAGCAGATATCCCCAGAGCTCTGTCTCGCCCCCAGACATCTCCCCCACCCGGGTCTCAGCTGCCTGAACCCCATTAGAGGGTCTAGCCCTCGCTCAGTCACTTGGCAGAAAGCTGGTCTGAGGCTGGGAAGGAGGGAGGCGGGGAGCAGGGCCTCTGGGCCGGCAGCGGACAAAGGGCGTGTGTTCTCATTCAAAGCACTTCCTGGGTTTCCATTGCAGGAAGCTTGGCACCTGCCAAGGTGACACTGACACCCGGAGGGAGTGGTGCTGCGGGAGACCCTTGGTCAGGACGCTCCCCTCCCCCCCACCTGGGAGCAGCGGTGGAGGTGAGGCAGGTGGCCTGGGGTGCTGGGTGGCAGGCCCCCACACATTCCCCCGTCCCGAGCCAGTCTTAGCCCAGAGCATATGTGAGGGTTCCTGGGTCCCAGATGGAGTCTTTGTGACCTTGGACAAGTCCCCAGATCAGCCCTTTGGTGCCTTATTGTCCCACCCTGGGGTGTAGGGAGGTGGCTTGGGGAATATCCTGGAGGTGAGGGAGAGCAGCTGCGTTTTTCTGTTTGTTTGTTTGTTTGTTTGAATCCTCACCTGAGGATGTGTTTATTGGTTAGAGAGAGAGAGAAACATCGGTGTGAGAGATAAAACATCCACTGGTTGCCTCCAATGTGTGCCCTGATGGGGGATCGAACCCGCAACCTTTTGGTGCGTGGAATGATGCTCCAACCAACTGAGCAGCCCAGCCAGGGCTGCATTTTTCTGTTTTAAATAAGCTTTCGGGTCACAGAGCACTTGAAAAGGGATTGCTACAGCCAAAAGTGTCTGAAAACCCCTGGGTCTCACTTTCCTCCTCCAGTCATTCCCATCTCTGGTGGCTCAGGGGTTCCCTCCCTTCCCCGGGGGTTGGGGGAGGCGTAGGGAAGTCTTGCTCCCAAGTGGGAGGCGTTGCTACCCAGCCAGGACTGAGCCCGACCAGGGCTCAGGCAGCTGTGAGTGCGGTTCTCCCTTGGCTCTCCAAGCCTCAGCTTCCCAATCCGAAGGGTGGTGGGCAGTCTCACAGCCCCTGGGACCACAGAGCAGGGCACCCGGGGGCTACTGGCCTGGGTTCGAATCCAGGTCTGGGCCTCAATCTCCTCATCTGTGAAACACGAGTAGCCAGCCCCGCCACACAGGGCCCTCCTAGAGGTCAAGTGCAAAGGAAGCCTGTAGGCCAGGTGCCCGCTGATAGGAGTCTTGTGGGCTGCTGCTGCTGCTGCTGTTGCAGAGTTGGCCGCTTACTTGAGCCCACCCGCCCACCCGCACTGGCCCGCACTGGCCCGCACTGGCCCGCAGAAATGCATGAGCCGGAGAGAAAGGCAAATAGCTCACACTGAACCGGTCAATGCAGAGATGGAAGTTTATGCTCTAAAAACCCGGCTCCCCAATGGCGTGTAGGTGACAGATCACACAGGGCGGAATCACAAGACACCGTAGGTTGGGGGCACGGGGTCACGCTGGGAACTGTTCGGAGGTGAGGTGAGAGTAATCAATCACTTCTTCAGGTCTTGGGGTCGGTTCTGAGGTCTTTTCCTGCGTTTCTCTGTCTGGTCTCCTGGGAAAGTAGCCCGAGGGGTGGTTCCCCCTTGGCTCAGGCCTGAGACACAGCTCGGGGCAAGATGTCTTTGGTGTGCAGAGGTCCCGACCGTGAGACCGCTAGGTCCTGGCTACTACCTTCTGCGGCCTCCGGGGTTGCATGCATATATATATACAAATATATATATATAGAGAGAGAGAGAGAGAGGGCGGGGAGAGATGGATGGGATGGTTTCTAGAGCTAGGATTTACAACTAAATTCAATCAAAGTCATCAGGGACCCTCAGTTGCAGCTGTGACGATCAAATGAAACAAGTATGACCAAAAGCAGGAGGGGTGAGGGATTTAGGGCGGTGGCAGGAGGGGCGGAGGAGCCTGGGACGCGGTTCCAGACGCCCCCTTTCCAAGCCCATGAGCGCAAGCCCCTCAGGAGCAGCCCAAACGCCACCCTGGCCAGGGCGACTGCAGCGCTGGGCCCACAGAGGAGCGCCAGGCCCTGCCTGGCCACCCCCAGACGGCGCTGGGTCCAGTGCTCCACTGGCCTCAGCCACTGTGGCTTTAATCAAAAGAACAATCTGTTTGCCTCTGAATCAGACCCAGATTCCCTTTCCCAGCAACGCTCCGGAGGCCTCCTGGGA